TCATGTTCATGTTTGAAAAAATATTCTTCTTTCTTGTTATCCATTCGAGGGAAGGGTTTTGTAATTCAAATGGCATGTACCTGTAGACCAGCTGATCCTCTCCTTCTTTGGCTGATGGCAAACCTTTGAGCACCAAACATCATAAACTGTGACAATAATTTCTAAGGTTGTTATTCGGCTAATTACCAATGGCAAGCTATATAGTAATTTCAATATATTATTTTTTAAAGTTCTTTTAATAACAATTTATATTTCGTTTATGTTTTATAGATATCTATATTTTTTAAACTGGTGAATATATTTTTTATCTTCTGTAATTCTCTGTGACTACAAACACATTGTAAAAAGTAAGGTTGATGTAGCATAAAAGATGCAAAATTTGCTTAGAGGTATTGTGAAGCGTGAAAACAAGAATGTCCAATAGAAAACTATTTAATACCTATGAAACACATTTATACTTGATAAGTAGAAAATAATTGTTTCCTCAGTGAGTCACTCTTCTTCACAAGTATGCGGGTGCCAGAAGTTTCACAGTTACAATGTGAAATCCAGAAGCCTTCAAACCATTTGCTACAAAAGAGGAAATTCTGCACCTCAGTTTTTTCCAGTGTAGTTATCAGTAGCACACCATTCAGTTATCATGGGCATTATATAAAATGATTACTTTCTCAGAACTATTTTGAGTACAGATTCAATAAGTTCTCTGGAAAGAAAAGACACATTTTAAAAATTGAATTGTTCAATTTTGTGAATGAGAAGGAAGCCTTGGGGAGTAAAAATACCTGCTTTCAAAGATCTAGTCTCAAATCTACTCGTACAGCTTAGTCTAACCCCTAGTGAAGTCAACAGGAATTCTCTGATTGAGACTTAGGAAGAATTAGATACAACAGTACACAACAGTGTGCATCTCTCAACTAAGTGTTTCTGCAAAAGAGGTAGATAGTGTGGATAAAAAGTAGAATAGGTACTATAGAGGGAAGGCAATGAGGTGCTAAAGAACAAAATGTCATATGACGAAATACCAAAACAACTGCAAAATTTCAGACATATGTTGCAGGTCACTGCATCCTGTCTGTTCCCTTTAGGCTGCCTGGGCTTGACTTCGTCATCTATACCATTTCACTTAGTGGCAAGTGGCATTAGGCATCTTGTATCTTGGTCATTTTTTCATATTGACAATAGCTGAGCAATGTTTTCTTAAGGGTTGGTAGGAGATTTAGAAGTTGAGGCGAGCACAAGATGACTACCTGTCCTTACAGCAGGTATGGGTACTCTCCACAGCACATACTGCGTAACCCCTAAGGGACATCGTAGACATTACATATTGTGGATGGAAAGGACCTCAGACACAGCCTAAACAATGTGTTAACCAAGAGGTACAGAGAATTTTATATAAATTCTGTGTGTTGGCCAAGTGATTTGAGTGACCTGCATGTTGCCCAGTTTACCTGTATGAGTAGGCCTCAGGCTAATCCTGCCTATGTTGAACAGCAGCTTCTAATTAGACATAAAAATTAAATGGTTATATTTTCTGACATTCCTAGGCAAGACAATTAACTCACATCCCTGAGTGGGACTCTATGGAAAACCAGACTATATGCCCTATTTTCTAATTGTTGATCTGAGTGACAGGTAAGATAAAGGTCTGAACTTGCTTGCTCTTATTTCTTACATTGTAATGAAACTGAAAATGCAGATGTTTTCAGTTTTCATCCTTGAAGTTTAAACTAACAGGTCAATAACTTGAACTTCCTCCATCTCCTTTTTCTCTGTTATCACTTAGTCACTTTGAAGACAATCAATTCTTGTAGTAGAAACCCTAGTCTTAGTGTGATGACTGGCACTGAAAAATTTCTTAGGAAAATAATATTACTGAGCTAAATGGTCAACTTGTATTTCTCTTATCCTTTACACAGGCAAATGCTTGCTGACCCACTTAATCTGGCCTTGTATCAGGGAAAACCATGCTCAGTAAAGACAAAGTTGGTTTACATTCCTGGGTACATGTCAGCTTTTTACAATTCTGTCTCCACGAGAGGCTTCCTTTAGAGATGTTTTGAAATAAGTTGCTACTAAAATGGGGTCTAGCTTTGCCTTCAGAAAAGTTGCAGCTTTTAAAATGAAAACTATTGGATCATAAATGTTTAGGACATGAAAGGAAGTTGACACAAAAAGTGTTTTGTGCATTAGAAGTCTAAACCTTTGCAAGCATTTAGTGGAAATTTTTACACACTTTCTTGATTATAATATATGAAAACTCATGCTTTTTAATATATTTGCTGGGACAAAACACTTCTTTAATTAGGATTTTAAGATATAATGCTACACATTTGAGGTTATTAAAAAAAATTCTGGCAAATATTGATCGACTAGAAAATTGAGATAAATGATGTCACCTTTAATGAGTGCATTCCAAAATGTAAAGAAATAGCCATACAATTGATTCAGTCAAGCTTTTCCAATATAATGGTGTTTTTAAAAAGATTTGAGGGCCTAAAATTGACATAGTTGTAATTAAAATTCTGCATGCTGATCTACTGTGGCATGCACACATCTCTCTTATTAAGTCTGCTCTACCAAAAAGCTGAAGAAATACACTCTAAAATGTATTTTTAAAAAAACCTAAGTATATTTATTCCAAGTAGGGATATCAGCACTCAGACAGTTCCTGCAGTGACTGTGACTGGAGTCAGCAAATTAAAGAAAGTACCTAAATTTTTAATTGTTTAATTTGTCAGCCTACTGAAGTGATCATTCACCTGTATGTTTGGTTTTTTCTGTTGCATTTATAAAGCTCTGATTGATGTGGTATAAAATTATATTCTGGAAAATATGGTATCTGAAAAAAAAAATAGTGCTTATAGTTTGATTACATTTCTTTATGTAATCGTTTTACAACTTTCTACCCTCTTATCTCATTCCCTGGTTTGCAGAAACATAGTTTCTGCTCTGTCCCCTTTCATTTCACATTTTCTCTACTATATCTGTTTTCTTATACAGCATAAGTAATCATTTTGATCTACAGTCATCTAACTTAGTTTATATTAGGAATTAATACAATATACCACAGGCTGTCTTTTCACTAGGCAGAACAAAAAAGGAGACTGGCTTCAGCTCCTAATAAATTATTCTTTTTTGGGGGAAATAAAAAGTGCAGTTCACTGAAATTCCATTAAAATCTTAGATATCCATTAAAAGTGCAAGTGTAATATGTTTAAATGCAGAATAGAAGACAAACTGGGCATATGAAAAATGAATGAGCACTTAGAAAAATGATTGTGCTTATTTCAAAAACTCTGAAGATTAGTCTGGAAGAACTCCAAATGTTGTGATCACAACCTCCTCTTAATTTTCAATACTGTGGCCTGTCATGGTCATGAACTTCAAATGGGGAAACTCACTTTTATGATGACACCATTGTAGCCTGAGTATTGCATTGCCATAGATTCTTCTGCATGGTGGTCTTTGTTCCAGTTTTGCCATTTCAGTGTTACCTCTAACTTGCTCTATGTATGTCTGTACTATATATACTATTTTAGTATAATTTTTAAGCTTTAAAGATTATTTTTAGCTGAAAAAAAATCTGAATTATCAGTTCTACATGTTTCCCTGTTTGAAAGCATCAGACCGGTTACTTTTATTTCTCTGCATTCATTTATAGTTTTTTCGCCTTATAATAGATTATGTAATAACTAGCCAAAACTCTCTAGGATGTACTGGTAAGACTTCAGCTTGCCCTTCCATATGGCAATAAATTTGTTCGTTTACAACTGGAATCTTAGTCTTTCATTCAACGTGGAGCTTTTAATATTCTAAGCTATTAATTTAAACAATAACCAGACTGCTAGTCTCTTTCTGAGTCCCTTACAGCTGCTCAGGAAATTTTTGATGACTCTGAGAGAGGAAAATGAAGGGACAAAATGCTGATCAGTTGGGCAGGAATTTGTCTGAAAAGGCAATGAAGAAAAAGATTTGTTTTGTTTTGTTTTGTCTTGTTTTAATTTTGATAGATTTAGTCCAAAAGTATCGAACAAATTTCTTTCTGTCAATCCTGTCAATGACAAGTGTCTGCAAATTACTGTAATTTGGCAGTCGTCATGTCTTCAGGAGTTTTTACAGGATATGTATAATGCAATAAGCTATTCAACATTCATTCGTATAATTTTAAGTTGCAAGATGAAATGCTCTATTTGTCAAAAGAAAGGCTCATCTCTAGTGGTAAAGTAGAAAAGAAGACCAACATTTCTAGGCCCAGATTCATCCCATGCTGACACAGAGGTCTAAAACAGTTCAGATGAATCATGACCACTAGAGCACATGAATTCCTTGTGGTATCTTTCAGTATCAGATTGCATACAACTAAATTTAGATGTCTAAATGTAAGAAAGCAACTAAAATGCCTTGCCATGTCTTCAGCCTTCCTCTCCTTTGCTCCAGAGTGGCAGCAATCTGCTACTGGGCCATATAAATTGTGTTTTCCATCCCTGCTGCCCTAGTACCAGTTCAGAGTTGTAAGAATGAAAGGCTCAAGGCACCACAGCAGCCTTCCCAACGTGCACGTCTCCTACTCAGGGATAAGCCACTGCCAGCTTGGTACGACCCTGCGCTGAGGCATAAACCTCGTGCTTATCCCACAGCACGCACACTTTATTCCCTGTACAGATATTGAATGTGAAGGAAGGTTGACAGGAAGGACAGTGGTTGGCCATGTCACAGTGAGCAGCAGTTGGGCGGCGGCCATGTCACAGCAGGTGGTGGCACCAGAGCAGGTATACAGAGGGCTTTGGGGCAGGGGCAGGTGAAGTGAGTGTAGAGGATGAGAGGGGAGGACAGGAGGGAAAGGGATGCCACCTCCCTTCAGGGGCTGGGCCTGGGCCCTGCTCTAGCCCTACTGAGCTGCAGGGCTGTCGACCCCGTGTCTCCTGGCCATAAGGACCTGTGGGGATCAACAGCCTTTGCCTGTGGCTACACTCACCTCATCCTGCTTCCCCAGGGTCATCTTCAGGAGATACTCCGGTGCTGCTGGAGCCATGGGTTTTGGGAGTGCTTACCATTGACCTGCATTGTGTCCACCATGAAGCAGAAGGTGCCGGACATGAGAGAGGCTGGTGAGAAAGAGCAAAGTACCCACACAGCTGCCTGGCGGGAAGCGAGGAGCCCCAGCGAGAAGGGGGGTAAGTGGAGTAGAAAGGAGAGGGGGAGGCGAGGGCAGGGCCTGGACTCTCCTCATCCATTACTGCCTGAGCTTCCCCCAGAGCTGTGGCCGTGGACAGGCCACTTCTCTGCTACTAGTTGTACACCGAATAATGTGAAATGTTCAAAATCTGTTTAAAGAAAATAATCAGCTTTATCAATGCACAAGAACAGAAAATAATGAAATAATCTCCTTCTTTGTTCTGGAGACAAAATTTGGTTTTTATACAGGACCTTGTTATTTCTACGTGACATTTTAATCAAACATGCTAAAGTTGGAAATGGAAAGATTTCAAATAATCATGTTTAATTACTTAAGCATCATTTAATCAAAATAATCTTCAATGGTAGTAATTACATTGTCAGTCCTTTTCTCACACATACTTAGATATATTAATATCAACCTTGATTACTATACTTATTGAAAACTACATTCTAATTTTCTATTTTAAATCAGCAGTAAACCTCAGGTAAATTCAGAAGCATCTTTAATCCTTTATATTTACGGTTATATCTTCAGTAAATGTTATAAACAACCATAAACCTTCTAGCTTCATAAATCAATTCAGTGTTTCAACGTATTGTTGATGATTTAATGACCAGTAATTGGTCAATACATTAATGTATATGCATTAATCTCTCATACATACTATCTTTTCAGTTAAAGTTTTTAAACCCAACTAAGTCAATGTGTAAGTCTTCAAGGGGTTTGAGACTCCTTTTAAAAGTTGGGTTCATGATGAGCTTATAATAAATACTACCTTTTATCTATAATTCAGCTAATATTTAGATCTGCTAACGATTTATAATACATTAAATTTTATGAATTGGCTCTCTCCAATTACGCCTGCATTGCAGCTGCTGAAACAGTGCTATCTGAACAGCTTGAAATGGGTATTGGAAGCCAGCAAGATGCTGGAAGCATGGTGGTTTGTTTGGGTTAATATAATCTGTTAAGAAGCATGATAAATTAGTCCATGTGGAGTTTTGTGCTATCACAGTTTGACTGCTTTGGGAACCTGAGCTAGTGTGTTTTAAGTTATCCTTGGCTGGTGAGATGCAGAGTTAATATATCTCTGTAATTCCAGGTCTGGAATAATTCCTCAAGAATGAGCAGAGCTGTTTAGATATAAAGACGAAATAAACAGTGGTAGTGAGGAACCCATTCAGTTCAGTCTTAAGGAAGATTGTTGAAACAACTCTCAGACAGCACAGCTGAACACTGTCTTCAAAACAGAAGCAATGTTTGGGTCATGACACTTCCTACATCTCCTAGCTTTGATCCCACTCTGAGCTCTACATCTGGAGTTTGCATGACTTCCAAGGTTCTGAGACCTTCAAGAAAAGGGTAGCACAGACACGAAATTGAATTTTGATTTTGATCATGCTGACACAAATCATTATTAAGATGGCATAGTGATACCAGTTATTGTTTAAAGTTCAGGCTCCTGACAAACAGAACTTGATTTTATATTTTTTCAACGTGGAAAAACAGTGCAAGCAGGGACTAGGCAGAATTACAGGGTGATGTATACAGGAGTGTTAGTCCCTTTTTAATCTTATTCTGGAGTGCACATACAAGATAGATTGCCATGTTCACATCCAGTTTTGAAACATAAGACTTAGATTTAAGGTCAAAAGAAAATAGCACAGCTGAGGCTTTATCCCCTCTTGATTCAAAATGAATCCCAAAACTTTGCTAGAGAAAACTGGAGTTTGGACTTGAAGCATTATTTGTTATTCAACAATACATTCCTTAAGCATGTAAAATTGAAAGCTGTATTTAACTGCATCATCTCGGGTAATGTATTTATTTGTCACTGATGCTGCATTAGACACCTAACAGATATGATCAGCAAGGGAGATAGGACTAATTGGAAATTTAAAGTCCTGGCTATTTCTCTGCAGATAAAAATAATAATAAACACTGACTTTCTCTCAGATATCACATAGTATAAGTTTGTAAAGGTTGTGGCTACTAGTGGAAAAATTGACCCAAAGTATCTGTATTAGTGTCAAAGTTAACTCTCACTGCAGTAAAATAGAACACTGACAGACTACTGATGTCAACAAAATGACCTTCTATGAAAATAGAGTCCAAACAACTTGTATTCTTATTTTCTAAAATTGCAGATATATCTGGTGTGTCATTCTGTGACCTGAAAGTTTCCTCAGAACCTTCCAGAACACAGGCTGCTTCACTGCACTGACTCTTATTTGATTTGTTCTGTCTCCAGTGCACATGTGAAGTGGTTTCCTGATCAACAGTCAGGCCTTCCACTCCATGGAGGATAATTAGTCTGAAGTTTTCACACACAAATCTGATTTTGTATGAATTTTTTGCAAACCTTTATTCACAATTTACATAGTTCTTGATCATTTGCAAATTGTTAGAAATAATAACCCAAGTTTTCACTGAACCCTCTCCCTGGTGCCAGATGTGGTCCATTTACCATACTAATGTCCAGTAACAATAATCAAGTGGTATTTTGAGGGGTAAGGAAAAAGTAAGGGTAAAATTCAGAGTTTATCAAACAGAATTTAAGATACAGTGTCATTTCTACCAATCTGGGTCTCATGCCTGATGACTTTCAGTGTGCTGACCATGCTGTGGATCTCTTTTGTTTATCAAGGCAGTAATACCTCATTGTGAGATATTTGCCTTCCCATTTTCCTTCAGATCTAGTGATTGGTAGAATTTCATCCTGCAGTCTCTATCACAGAAGACAAATTTGCTATTTTGGACTTCAAATATGTTTTGACTTGATCAAGTTTCCCCACAACTACCCTATTTTCTACAGTGACTTCTTTACCTATGTGAAAATACTCTTTATGTGTTGTGTATCCGTTTTCTGATCCTGAATGATATGTCATAGTGCCACAGTGGTATCTCTTCATATCTGCATTTTAAGTTAATAAGAATTGTTGTATAGCTTTTTGCTAGATACCTGTTTACCGATAAATATTTTTAAATGAAGTTTGGAAGTAGTACAAATATAGTCTGGCCTAGTAACATGTATATTAGTATAACATTATCCAAATTATCTTAAACATCAGAAAAGACAATTTTCTGATAATACTATAGACCATATAATTATGCATTAATATTAATCCTCAGCACTTTAATATCAAGCTTTTCAAGAAGTCAAACAGAAGACAAAAGGCTGCAAGTTATGATTTCCCAGATAATGAGAATAATCGGTTTTGATTAGACTCATACAAATAGTTCATATTCAAGTAAGTAATAAAACAGTCATTCAGTTTTCTATGAAATTTTGTTAGCTGAGAAAATGGACAAAAGCAACTACATTTCTGTAGTAGATTGCCATATAAATAGTACATTTCCATAGGGTGACCTTCCTCACTTATTGGAATATAAAATGATGGCATGAGCTCATTTAAAATTATGCAGTGATCCCAAAGAAAAGAAACTTTATTAAGGTGAATTACTAACTTTTTGGAAAACACTGAAAAAGACCATTTCAGTAAATGCATCCTACATTAATTGCCACTTCGAAGAAACATCAGTGACATAAAAGCCTAGAAGTCTAAAGTTAATTTTTTTTCGTAAGGCTAAAAAATGAAATTTTATAGCACATTAAAATAGTCAAAGATAAAATAAGACTGTAAATAACATATTGGCAGTAATGTTTAATACAGTGGAGATCAGTAAAAGGCATGTTCTCCAGCCACATGGCACTGGTAAGGAGCAGCCCAAATCTTGTCACAGTTTACTGGCTGCTTACATGGGCTGGAGGTTGCAGGGCCTCCCTTTATGTGGGAACACCTAAAGTCAATGAGCTAGGGCACTAAACAGGAAATGCTGATAAAAGATTTGGAGATTGGTCTTGATGGTCTCAGGAGGGTCCTGTCCAGCCTAACTGATTCTGTGATGAATGGGGTGGTTGAAGACTTTAGGGCCTGGGCTTTGCTTAGTAAATTTATATGTAGTGATGAGTGCTAGCACAGTGACCATGCTAGCTACACAGACCTGTCAGTGTATCCTCCTCTCAAAATCTGCTATTCCCACTACAGGAGACTGGCAGTCCTTACTTAGAGAGTGAAAACAGAATGATGTGGAAAGGGAGACAGGGTAACAGGAAAGCAGACTGTTGTCTGCTGAAATTGTGATAGCATATGCGTGGAAACATCAAAAAGCACTTCTAAGGTTGCTAAAGCTCAAATGCTTGTGACTATTCAATAGCATAGATAGATTTTAAGATGGGGAACAGCGAATTCTGGACACCATCAAGGTGCTTCAGGAATAAGAATCACTGACTTTTAGGTAGAGGAGGAGGCTGAGGGAAGCAGCTGGCCTCTACTTTGGTGCAAAACAGTCTTGTCCTCTACTGGCTGAGAAGCAGAAAGTTTGGTTTCTGACCTAGGAGCTGTAGCAGATCACCATACGTCCACTCTGTTTCTTTGAGGAGGTGTCCAACTCCCCACCATCTCCCCTTCTCCTGACTGTTTCGTGCATACTCAACCAGCACTAAATCCCCAGTGGTGGGCAGGTTAAGCCTGCATTCCACTCTGCTTCCCAGCAGCTTTACCAGGTTAGTACTTAATTTCAGACAGTTCTCATAAAAATATCACCATAAAAGGGTGTAGTCATTCAACAGAGAAGGAAGAATATACAGTAATTTCCTTGGAGCAGCTTTTTATATTAGAGCTGTCAAGATTCATTGGCATGAATGGAATGATGGTGGTTCAGGTCTCCACTAGATGAGAATAGTAATAGCAGCAGAAAAACAAATTATGCCTCTTTTTTCCTTCGTGTGTATTTTAAAGAAAAGAGGAAAGAAATAACACAAACATCCTGAAATGGTCCTTGCTTCTGAGGATGGCTGAGTTTAGAATACTTAGGTGCTTTTAATCTCTTCCCAGTATGTATTAAGATCAACAAATTCAGAATTAACACTAGTTCAGAGAAATCAAATACCTGATGTAATCTTCCTATCTGTTCCATGACTATGGTTGCTAG